TGCATACATAACGTTGACTGTAGCTGTTGTTGTTCGCCGACCGCATCTGGCAGTTCGGTAATATCCTTAATCACACCCATGAGGCTCTCGAAGTTCGGTCCCCAGTTAAGCAGATAATTCCAACCCAAACTTGGCTGCGACGGTGAACCGGGACCATTTATTTGCCTATAAATACCGCCCATACGCGTTGATAGATCATCATCGCTGGCGACTAGAGTGCTGAGTGAGCCACGAAAGGACGAATCGAAGCCATCGTACGAGTGTGGTGGCATTGGTGGTACCTTACCCATGCTCGGACCCACGCCATCGCCGCTCATGGCGCGCGCTACAGCGCTACGATCTGGTCGATCATCAGGCACCGCCTTACTTGACGGATATTTTGCATCACCATTTAAGCTGTTATTATCATATTCGATTTCCGAACAAGTGAAACTATCATTGCCACTTTCATCGGTTGAGCTGGAGCTGTGCGCATCCACATCAGCATTGTGCAGCCCACCGCCGAGCGCGAGATGATGTGCGCCACCGGGTACGCGCGGCGCTTCGCTGCTGGAGGACACCGCATCCAGCGTTGATACTAGACTGGATGTGCGCGGTCGCACATTTAGACGCTCAATTTCTTCGGCGGTTAGGCCGATGGGCGCTTGCGCGGGCGATTGCGCCGATACGCCGGGCTTCTGTCGACTCGCGCTCGAGCTTTGTCCAGATAATTGTGACATTACTGGGCTATTAAGGCTACGCTCGCTATTGCTATGCAAGGCATCCTTGCCGACGCCCCCAGAACTTGAGGTGGTGGCGAGCAACGCGCTCTGCAGTGGCTTGCCTGAAATGTCGTGCAGTGTTAGTATGCGTGGCTGCTGTGAACTCAATTCAGAACTGGGCGAAAGACGCGCCAATGGCGTACTTTGGTGTGGGCGTGGTGTGCTCGAAGGTGGCGGTGGTTGACTAGCTTGAGGCGGCACACGTGGCACAAATGGTCCGCCAACACCGACGCCGTGACGTGGTGAATGCCTATGCTGCTGCTGGGCAGCTGTGGCTTGGTGCTTGTGGTGCGTGTAGGAGGCGACTGGCGCTGGTGTGGCTTTGTACTTGCGTACGCCACCCGCCTCACGGTAACCCTTGTAGTGATACACGATGTCTATGTCCGAGGGAGCGATTGAGCTGGCGTTCTCCAGATCGTAATGCTCTGGATATTCCGAACCCAAGTCAACAGAGTTTGTGTGGTCATGTGGATGATGCGCCTGGCTGGGTGGCGGTATAGGTGGATGATGTTCGTCACGGAGGGGTGGACTTTTGCTAACCACCTCACGCTCGATTATATCTGGCCGTTGTGGTCGCTGTTGCTGATGGTCGTTGGAGTTTATTTCGCGCTCTTTAAACTTTTTTGAAATCAATTCGGGACCGACCATATGATGGCCGCCAACACCGCGTATTAAATCTCCGCTGTCAACGTGATAGCTTACTGCACCATCGCCGGCGTGTACTCCCCTGCCACGCGACAAAACATGATCTGTCTGGTTTTGTGAAACTGCTGCGCCTCCGCTGTGTTTTAATTTGAAGCCAGGAACGCCGCAACTCAAACTGCCGATCTTTTCCTGCTTACCACGAAACCGATAAATGACATAAGAACCCGAAATGGCCACAACCAGTATGACGAAGAAGACAATCACCAACGTGATGCCTATGCTAACGGGGTCGGAAGCTTGTGCCGCGCCTATACCCAAGTCACCTATGCAGCCATGTAATACTTTTCCGCGCGTCAACACCTCGTTGAAGACGCTGCCCGAACCATTGAAGGGTTGCACTTCGTTGTTGATAGTGAAGTTCGCAATGCAGCCTTCATAGCTAATTGGCATATTTTCCTGCTGCGGATAATGTTCGCGCCGTACACCTGCTATGGAGAGCACGGTTAAGTATGGATCGAGGAAGTCGTGCACACCAGCCGAATCAAGCTCCTCGCCTACTTTGCTGCCATCTATCAACAAGCGTAGCACACGGTTCGATGTTAAAAGTGTGAGGTTATGCCATCTGCCATCATTCAAGTTTTCCGGCTGCCGAATTGTCATATTCACTGCAGTGTTTTGTTTGGAGTAGTACACTAACTTGCCGCTTTGCAATTCTATTGCGGTATATTGTTTGTTCGTGGCCGCAAAGAGCAGCAAGCCATCTTCTTTGTAGGTTCGAAAAAGCAGACTTACGATCTTCGGTAGGTCCACAATTTGCGCAAGCGCGGTAAAGTTATCACTATTAACGGTAAAGCGTCTGCGACGCGCAATATCATACGACCATAAATTGGTGGCGGCGTACAAACTGTCCAGTAATTGCATGCGTCGATGCTTTTCAGATATTTTAAACTCCACAAAAGCGCCGTTCATCACAGTAATGGGCTCCAAGGAGCTGTAGCAATCTGGCGACAGTAGACTGGCGCCACATTGGCACATAGCCGTATGCCAGCGATCCATGCATGTGCCAAAGTCACCGCAAAGTGACAGCGCCGGATCGTGGGGCAAACTCTGCTGACATGGCCCACCATTATTTTTGCGGTTGCAAGTCGGTAATACATCACGCTGCTTCAAGGGACTGCTCATATTCAACGCACGTCCATTGACCGACACGCTGTGTACGCAACCAACCAGATCGTCTGTGTGTATTTGACCCGGACGCTCCAACACTGGGTCTGCGGAAGCCAGGCCACCAATAAGCAGTGGCTGCTTGTTGAAATTCAAAGTACTGTAAGAGAAAGTAAAAAGTGAATAATTAATATTTTTCTAATACGAAAACTAGCTATCAACTTACCCTATGGGTCCTACATCCTGCGCATAACAGCTGACATCACCGGGGCGGCACTCCTCACAAACATCACCGTTCTCCGAACACTTGGCGACGCTCAATGACATGACGCGTCCGTTACGCGTGGCTGTAACCTTGTGCCACTGTCCATCAGCCAAAGTATCTTTACTACTGGCACCCACGATCACAGTTGTGATGGCTGTGCGCGCGCCACCGAACGAGAAGAAGGCCTTTCCTTTCACCACCTCAATTGCTACAAAGTCAGATCGTCCACCAGTTTGTATGCCATAGTTGTAGAGCAGCAAGCCATCTGGTTTAGTGGTGGCAAAGATGATGGAAATATCGTTAGTCGCAGCATCCAATGCTGGAAAAGCCATGTAGGACAGCTCCTGAAAACCAAACGTAGCACGCTCGCACTGCCGTCCATAGCGTCCATCCACACAACTGCACTTGTAGCCCGGCTTCAAGCTGACACACTGCCCACCATGCAAACATGGGTTGGGACGACACGAATCGGACACATGCTCGCATTGATTTCCACGATAGCCCGGTCTGCAGAGGCAAAAGAAAGAAGCGCCGTCGGGGCTGTGCCTGCAAGAGCCACCATTGCGACAAGGATTGCTGGAGCATACATCACCACGCTCCTGCTGGCATTGCTTGCCCTCGCGGTTCGGTGGACATATACACTGAAAGTCATAGCCAACGCGGCGACACTGTGCATTCGCCTCGCACGGATTTGGCGCACACGGATCCTGTTGTTTGTCACATTGCATTCCTGTAAAGCCATCTGGACATTTGCAGCTGTAGTCGTGCGAAACACGTGGCCCACTGAAGATCAACGATGGACTGTCGATTATATTCAGCGTATGTGTGCCTTCATGCACATGAATTTCAGCAGTGCACATACCGCCATTTTCGCAGGCACCCGTCGATGCTGAGGTGCAAGGGCTATAGCCGATTAACACGCTCCCGGTTGTTTGCACCAAACGTTCGATGGACTCACGCTTCTTTATCAAACGCTCGACGATATAGCGTGGCGTGCGGTAGGAGAGATTTGCGGCACGTACCGCCAAAATGAGTTCGACGTTACTGGTGTGTTTTTCGCCAGCGTTGCGTATGCTGTACAATTTGAGTTCGTCGCTGGGTTCGAAAGCTGACTTCAGAAGTTCCACAAAGTTGCGGTAGTGCATGGCTAAGAAGTGCTCGGCTGTCATTTCGCGCACCAGAACCGCAACGGATTGCGCTACTGCATCGGCATCGAAGCTTTGGAAGCTCACCGTTACGGTGGACACAACACTGCTATGTTTACCGTCACTGCCCGAGATGGTGTACGAGTAGCCATTGACGGTCGTCTGATAGGTGGTGTGCAAGTCGCATGCGCTTGGTATCACCAATATTCCGGGTGGACTAGACTGCGAATTTGTGGTGATTTTACATTTATAATCGCCAGTGATGTCTGGATCATTTGGATGTACATCAGCTATTTTGCCGATTGGTATTTCATCGTTGTAGGTATTGAGTAGCACGTGCGCCATGCGCGGCGTAGATGGACTATCGTTTTGATCGAGAACCTTTATGGTGAGTACATGCTGTGCGCGCTGGCGCGGTTCACCGTTGTCCTCAACCTCTATGGCCGCTTCCAGGGTGGGTGTCACCTCGCGGTCGTAAGTTTTTGTAGATTTCACCAAACCTGAGTGCTTGTCAATAGTAAGATAGGATTTGTGTTTACCACCCACGAGGTAGTACGTGAAGGGTCCACCATTTGGTGGCAAATCAGGATCTGTAGCAGTCAGCGTCATTATAGAGGTATCCGCCGGCTCATTTTCCGATATGTAACCAACCAATCCGTTTGGCGCAAAGGTCGGACCGTTATCGTTCACGTCCTCCAATTCAATTTTAACTGTTGTGGTGCCAGTTTGTGGGGGCACGCCTGTATCGATCGCGCCCAAAATCAAACTGAATACCGGCACCGTTTCCCGGTCCAAAGCGCGCGCCGTCTCAATATCGCCACTTTGCGGATCAACCTTAAATGTCTGGTTTAAGTTGCCATTAATAATCGAGTAGCTGAACTGATTATTCTGCGGACGCACATCTTTGTCCACTGCCTTGACGCTGGTAACCTTCGTGCCGACTGGAGCTGCCTCCGAAATGCGTGTCGTGTATAGCGTTTTAAGGAACTCAGGCGGATCATTGCCATCCTGTATGGAGATGATTACCTGTGCCTCATCGGTGTCATTACCGCGTATACCGCCATAATTCTTTGCCATTACGGTGAGCACAACGCGACTTTGGGTTTCGCGGTCGAGATGCCGCGACACATACATAATGCCAGTCAGGGTATTGATGGAGAAACCTCTATCATTGCTGGAGCCCACCAGCAGGTAGTAGACTTTGCCATCTTCGCCTGCATCCTTATCGGTGGCCTGTATAGAGCCCACAGAAGTGCCGACCTCCGCCGACTCGGATACATCAAAGTGGAAGACGGGCTGCACAAACTGTGGATAGTATTCGTTGATGCCTGTAATGTGTACGATGACCATAGCGGTGCTCTGCATTTGCGAATCTGGATTGGCGGCCATTATTTGCAAATTGTAATCACGGCGTTCTTCGTAATCGAATGTTACGCTGGATATGATCTCGCCAGTGCTCGAATTGATCTTGAAGAGGTTTTTGCCTGTGCCGCTAGTGATGGAATAGCGTATGATGGCGTTCTTCGGAGAGTCTTTGTCGGTCGCATGCGCTTTAAAGACAAACGTATTCGGCGGACGATTTTCTGGTATGAGAGCATGGTATTCGGATTGATTGAATAGCGGTGGGTTGTCATTGATGTCCGTCAATATTACGGTCAACATACAAATAGCCTTTTTTGGTTTATAAGCTAAGTCTTCAACGGTTATATTGAGGTGATAGACTTGTATCAAATCGTAGTCCAGGGGCTGCAGAATAGTGACAGCGCCTGTATCTTTATGCACCATAAACTCTTTGCGCTCATTGCCACCGGAGAAGTAATATCTCAGCATGCCGTTTGGACCCCCATCTTTGTCCGAAGCGGTAACGCTAATTAGAGTTGTGCCAACTGGTTCATTCTCGGGTACTATAACTTGATAACTGAGTGCTGTAAACTCAGGTGTGTACATATTTTCGCCCGTCACCACGATGGTAGCACGTGTTTCGTCTGCAAGTGGTGGCACGCCGCGATCGGTAGCGCGTACAGTCACTAAAAATACCGTATCCGCTTTCACACCAAGTGGCTTTGATACCGCTATCCAACCATCGTGCTTGCTGATGGTGAAGTAAGCGGTGCCATTGCCTTGCAGCAGTGTATAGTCGATCTCCGCATTTACACCATAGTCGAGCGCGTCCACAGCATGCACCTTGAGTACACGCTGTCCGCTCGTAGCTTTCTCCGGCACTGGCGCAATGTAGGTAGCCTTTTCGAATTTCGGTGGATTATTATTAGCATCGACGATGTTGATATTCACCAAGCATTCCGAGTTTAAAGGCGGCTTGCCATTATCTGTGGCCAGCACGATCATCGAATACATATTTTCTGGTGAGGATTCCAGCTGCGAATGCTTGTATTTCATCTTGCGCTTGCTGAAGATCTCACCGGTGGCCGGATCGATGGTGAACAAGTCGGAGGGATGCTGCAGCGAGTATGAAATAACCGAATTGGGGCCTTGCTTGTCACGATCGGTGGCAATAACTTGCCCTACAAAGGCGACAGCACGCTGTAGTTCGGGAAAGTTGAAACTGTAGTAGCTATGTTCAAACTCGGGCGCATTATCATTCTGATCCTGCACGGTTATGGTGATGGGCGTCTCGGAGCGCCACGCGCCATCCGATGCGACAATCTTCAGCAGATATTCGTCTTGTTGCTCGCGATCGAGGTAGCCAGCGACTGTGACATTACCGCTTATGGCATCGATTTTGAACTTTTTGCCTGGATTTTCAGTAAAGCTGTAGGTGGCATTTGCATTTGCGCCAATGTCCAAATCTGAGGAGGTCACTTGTATTACAAAGCTGCCAACATTTGCATTTTCTGTAACGTTTACAGAAAAGAGGCGCGTAAACTTCGGTGGATTGTCGTTTTTGTCCAACAAGTTGACTTGTACGCTCGCAGCGCCCGTGAATTGTGGCATGCCTTGATCTACTGCTTCGACGAGCAGCTCGTACGCGCTAATTTCCTCGCGATCCAAACGCATTGTGGTGTATATCTCACCAGAGTCGGAATCAATTTCGAATGTACCCTCAAAGTCGTCAGCTAGCCGATAGGATAATTCACCATTATCGCCCGCATCACGATCGGTGCCATGGACTTTTACAATGAATTGCGGTGGTGGCTCTTCTTCAAGTATTTCAGCGTAGTAAGTCAACTTATCTAGGACGGGCGCATTGTCATTTGCATCGGTCACATTGATGGTGAGCAACACAACGCTCCGTAGGTGTGGCTGATCAGAGTCCGATGCTTCGATCCACACTTCATAAGTGTGCGCCGTTTCGTAGTCCAACCCATCTTTGGCAACCTTCACCACTCCGGTGCTGGCGTCAATATGTACGGAATTGCCGATGTTGCCACCTGCAATGGCATACTTGATATTGCCCGCAGCGCCTTTCTTCGGTGAGCTTGCCATGATAGTTGTAATAACCTTGCCCTCGGGCACATCTTCCGACAGCATAAATTGCCTATTCGGCGTGTTAGCGAAATTCGGAAAGAGCGCGGTTGGCCGCAACAGTACAGTAAGATCGGCGCTGGAGGAACGCGGTTCAGTGCCCTGATCTATAGCATACACTACAATGCTGTAGATTGTATCGAAACTTGTATTCTCGCGCGCACCCAATGGTGTCTTAGCCTTGATCACACCACTCTGCGAGTCAATCGAGAACTTATCGATATCCTTGCCGCTGATATTGTAAGTGATAAGCGCATTTGCGCCATCATCCAGATCCGTTGCGCGTGCGCCAAATACAAATTCGTTAGCGCTTATGCCGTCGGGCACATTGACATTGAAGCTGGCCGCATTGAAGGTGGGCGTATTGTCGTTGACATCGAGCACGGTGATGGTGAGATTGACTGCGCTAGCGCGTGGCTCCGTCGCCGAGCTGTCTTGCGCCATCAGCGTCAGATAGTAGATGGCGGATTCCTCGCGATCGAGCACGGCAGCAGTTGTAATTTCGCCCGTCTCCGCGTTGATATGGAATTTGTCGATTTTCTCGCCAAGCAGCGTGAAGCGTAACTTTGCATTAGCGCCGCTGTCCTTGTCCGTGGCGACGGGTTGCAGTACTTTGGTGCCGGCGGAAAGATTCTCCTGCACGCTAGCCAGATAGAAGGGACGCGCGAATTCTGGACTATGATCGTTCATGTCTTGCACAATGACGCGTACGATGCCGGTGCCGGTAAGCGGTGGAGAACCTGAAAAACGAACAGAAAATAAGATGAATGCGCTTGTTAGAAGAATGAGTAAAGAGCATATATATATATTCTTTTGGGCAAATCTAAGATAGTAAAACTGCTGCGACGGATATGATTTGTACAGCTCGTTTGCGACAGAATTACATTACAATTATTTTAGCAGGATGCGGCAGCGCGTAGGAATAACTCTAAAAATACGATTTTAAATAGACTAGACCAGACCAGCAAGCACTGCAGTTATCTTTGAGTTTTTATAACTATGCAGTAGTAGTACCACAGCCTCACTCGCCGCTGTGGGCTTATCAAGATAAAAACTTTGCAAACAAAAAGCGCGCTGGCGTTGTTGCCTTACATTGTGGCCTTCGCGAAACAATACATTTTACGCGTTCTAATTTAACGAGCAAATTGAAATATTGCCATAAAAGGATGAGTCCAGCAAGCGCAACGATTGGACAATATGCAAAATAAGTGCTGCACACACATACAAGCATAGTACATGCAAGCGCATCGCACAACATGCTTATTCGCACATTTGAAATTCACATGCGCTCGCTATACATCCGTAGTTGTTTTTGTGCCCACAGCATGTTGGTTGGTGGTCCCTTTTGGTTGAGACAGTGATTTTTTTCCGCTTTGGCGCGGGTGTTGTTAACTCTTGCACTCAAATTGCGAACAGCTCTAATTAAACTATCCATGTTACGGGTAGCATAGTGGTGCCAAAAAAGGGTTGCCCTGTTGTATGTGCAATTTGTAATTTGCAGTTTGGTAACAACAAACGGTAAATGCTGATTGCTAGCGTATGTACTATGTACATAACGGTCGTGACAATTATGCATATTTTCATGAGTGTAAACATTTGTTTCCGATATTGCTAATGAGATTTCATAGGATAATGTTAACAAAGCTATGGGGGCATGTGAATTTGCTAGTTATGATATTTGTTGTGAAAGCCATGTGGAGCTTCAATTTCACAATAGAAGAGATTAGCAGATAAAGGCAAAAATATTTCAAATAAACTTTTGGAGCAAAGAACTTTGGGAAAAAAGGTTGGTATTGGCGCTCTGCCTTAGATAGATACTAAAAATGTTTTCTTCACCGTACTAGATACATTTTCATCAAGGGTTCCGCGTGGCTATTGGACAAAAAGTTTGGATTGGAATTTTTAAAGCACTTAGTATAGGGTGATGTGACATCACAAAACTCAAACGGCTGTGCAAAATGGCGTTGAGCAACACCAACAGCTCCTTAACCTTTTGAGAAGGACCTCTCCGAGCCGTTTGTTATCAAACATTGTTTCGGACAAGGTAACGAACTATCATCGATTTTTTTTTAACACACGTTGTGGAAGATAAAAAGAGCTTCAGAAATGACCAAATTATTAGAGCGTGCAGTTTCTGGGGTATGACCATCAAATTACCTGGAAATCCAATGATAAACCGCTGTGACCAACATGTGGTACTTTAGACTAAGCACGAAATTGAGCAATAAAGTCTTTTCTAAATCAATGAAAATCACACTTTGTATCTTAATTAGGGTGCATTACCAAAAAAAAAAGTTTAGGTTTTTTCACCGGAACGGTAAAATAATTTTTCACTTAAACCGCTGGTGAAATCGGCTATAAGACTTCCGCCAAAATGCGCAAAAATCCTAAGATTTACATACGTAAGCTAGACCGCTTTTGAAAATACCTCCAAAAATCTCATTATTTAGATTAATTTAATACAATTTTTAAAAAATTGTATGCGGACCTTTTAAGCTTAAATTTTTCTATTATTTGCGGCGATTTAAAAAAAAAATGTTTTTAAAAACAAATTTTATTTATAAAAACTCGTTTTTCAGAGATATTTTCAAATAGGCCCAGCTCACGTAAATCTTAATATTTTTTCCGAAATATTTTGGCGGAAGTTTTAAAATATAATATATTTTATATTTCCAATGCAAAAGGATTTATATTTCCAATGCAAAAGGAGTACCGATTTTTTTATTTTGTATGGAGAGTGATGCAACCCAATGTACATACGAATAGGTTTACGCCGCCGAGCCGCCAATTTTTCATCCTTTCTCACAAGACGACGCCGACGCCGTTACGAAAATATCGCCGGCAGCGGCGTACGGCGCTTTGTTGGCAATATATAAGGTAATTTGTCAGATGGTTCTTAATTATGCGCCACCATTTCATAACATAATCCTTCAGACTAAATAGTCAGGTCAAGATTTACATACCAAGGCACAGATGCTTCCAGTTAGAGAAAAAATAACATGCTACCCAGCACTAGAAACAGAATATCCTGCTAGGCACATCAGAAGGAATCTCTACGAAGAAACAAGATCTGGGACTATGTGCAACTATCTCTGGACCCGACGCTGGGCAGACAGGTACCTAAGGACATTCGCAGAGAGACGTATCCAACGCATGACACTCAGTATATGCGCCCTTAAACCTACTCAACTTTATACCTCCTTCTTTGGTGCGACGCCTATTAAAAACACATTTTCTAGGTCTTCTAATAAAGACTAGCTGATCTGAAGAAAGGATGATATGTGCATGCTGCTCAATATTTTGCCAATTGAAATTGTTGGAAAATAATCAGTGGGGTGTGCTGCCTTGAGGCTGAGGGAACTATCAGGCGGAAGAGATACTCAGGATGGTCACACCGCAATCTTTAAGAAGATAAATGTACCAGTCACGGATTACTGTGCACCAAGTTTGAACTTCACAATATATGTGGTATATGATTTCCATTCCAGACAGAAAATCCTAGGCGGCAAGGCAGGAAGCGTTATTCAAGCTGAAGTCGCTTCTATACAGGAGGTGGTTGAACACCTACGTATACAAGAGAATTCATATATAACGATATCTCCATCTAGTCAGAGCGCACTCAAAGCACTTGAATCGGTTACATGCAGTTCAAAAACCGTGGCGGACTGTCGCAGATCTCTAAACGAGATGGCTGAGCAGTCTGCGCTTCACTTGGTATAGGTTCCGGGGCACCGTAACATACCAGGCAATGAAAAGGCAGGCGAACTTGGGAGAGAAGGCACATTCGCTTCACTTTCGCAGGCCTGGAAAGTATTAGGTATACCGCTCGGTACCTGCAAGATCATTCTCTTAAACTAGAAAGGGATAGGTGGGCTAGTCTCGCCACTTGCAACAATATAAAGCTAATGTGGCCAAAATGGGATAAAAAGCGGTGGAAAGGATCTCCTCATGCTGAGCAGAGGGGACTTAGCCGCAGCTGTGGGTCTCCTAACAGGCCGTGTTGTTATCGGAAGGCACGTGGAGAGGTTAGAGGTCCCCCATAACCACTTCTGCAGAAGCTGCAGAAATGAAGAAGAGTCAGAAACCTTGCGTCACCTGTTATGCGAATGCCCCGCACTTTGTAGAACAAGACCAAAGTTGATGGATCCAGGATTATTTGAAGACCTAACCGTTATAGCCGAAGTAAGCGTACGGTAACTTGTGGGTTTCGTGAAATCCACACGATGGTTTGAGTAGGAGGGGTTCTAACGATCCGCGTGGTATCACAACGTGCCCCCAACCTAAGTGCATTTGGTGCTTGTGTGGTCACTGGCAACCACTTAAACCTTATCTAACCTAACATTAGGCTGATTGGTTTGCATGTTTTTTGTAGCGCATGCATACGTTTTGAGAATGAGGACTACCCTAACTTTTCCCCAAAGTTGGAAAATATATGTATAATATGGTCAAGTGTTAAAGATTCATTGAAGAGTCTTAGCAGATTATGCATGTGACGTACCGAAATACGGTACAACAGAGCCAAAAAAAAACAACAACGACAGACATATGTATTTTCACTTAAGAATACATATTTCAATAATAAGGCGGCGGCGCTCATTTGGAACGCAGTAAACCACACTTATAGGCACTGGGCTGCTGGCGACAATTCAAAGCTGATAGGCGATCACACACGAATCTGAGAACGTCTGGAGGCGAGCAAACGTACAAAGAGAAGCAAATGAACAAAAAAAAAAAAACAATGGTAAGAATTCAAAAGCGCAGGCAGTGAAACGCATTTGGTGCCTAGCAAGATTAGTGGGCAGGATGGCTGGTGAAAAAAGGTGGTAGGTTGGTTGCTGGTGCGCGGCCAGTGGGTTATTCGTACATCCAAGTTGGTTGCTAACTTGGTTAACTACTGAATTTTAGTTTTTGGTTGCGAGTAGAAACTTTCCACATCAACATCAATTGACGAAAAGTGCCCGCGCATGCGCATCTCCATGTATTTTCCAAGCGCGTACAAGCTCACGCACAAGGCAGGCCAGGCACAAAGGTGAGCATGGTAAGCATGTGCGCGCTGCCTACTACCCACTACGCAGAGTCAACCCACCAAGTGCAGGTGTTGTTGCTGTTACTGCAGCTATGAAGCTCCCTTCTTGTTGACTGTTAGGCAGCCAGCCATGCTGCTGCTGCTGCTGAAGCTGTTGAGATGTACGATCTCAGGCGCAAAAGGCGCAACTAATCGAGCAACGACGAATGAGTGGCGGGAAAAACGCTTGTTAGGCAGTCGTTCAACAAAGGCAGCTTAGTCAACGGAAAAGTAGAAGGCGAAAAAAATGAAATGTGGAAAAATGCACTGGGAAGAAATGTGCAGAAAATTTGTGTAAGAAAAAAAAAGCTGCCGAGCAAGGCCGGTGCTAGTGGTTGAGCGAATATTTCGTACTGCAAGAGCAAAGCAAAAAAAAAGGAGACTAAAGCAATAAAAACAAAATAAAATACAAAACGCTGCTCGTTTGTCGTACGAATGCTGAATGGTTAGTAGCGGTTGACTGTCTACTACATAGCTGCCTTAATGCTGGATCGCAACCGCCGCCAAACAAAACGATTGAAACGATGAAAGCGTCGCTTGCACGCCTGAATGCCTGAGTGGCTGAGTGGCTGGCATGTGTGATAAATCTCGTTCGAATTTCTTTTTGTGTGCTGCAGGCTAAATAAAAAGCTTGTTAGACGTTGAATGCTTGTAAATAAACGCGCGCGCGCTCAC